CCCCCCCCCCCCACCCACGTGACCCCTTTTTCCTTGATTTTGTGAAATTTCAATTCCCATGTATTTGGTGGGCAATCAGTTTTTCAGCTTATTTTATTTTATTTTTTTCAATGAAAATAAATTTTATTCACAATTGTAACAAATTATATCATTTTAATTGAAAATTTTCATGAAAAATAAAGTCAAAGGAACACTAAAAAATTCAAAATTTCAACATTTTTCATGTGAAAAATTATACAAATCAAACACATTTAACTGACAATTACCAGTATAACAAGTTCTAGACAATTCAATTTCCTAAAATTCATTTTCTTTCCACTCAAATCAATTCTTCCAATCAAACGGATCCTTAGTAGAAATTGTAATATTGATTATAATCAAGAAAAAAAAAACACACACACACACACACACAGGTGATTGTTAACTTTTCAATATAGTCGATCATTCAAGCTCCCAATGTACATATGTCAATCTAGCTAATCGGCTCGGGCAGTCCATGACTCAGCCCAAAAAGTCCGATCCGGTCTAACTCGTAGCTCTGGCTGAACCCCATTTTTGGAACATTGGGCCGAGCAACCCGTGAGTGAATTTAAAAGAAAAAAAGCAAAAATAAAGAATAAATTCTGATGTGCATCCACGCAGCTGCTCAAAGAAAAAAAAATAAAAAATCACAAGCCAACTCGACTGGGCAATAAGACCCTAATCGAAAGCTCGGGTCGAGCTTAGATTTTTTGGTTGAGCAAAAGTTTGGTTCGCTTTGGGCCAAAAAAATCAGAATCATTTTTCCTCGAGCCAAGCTTGAACTTCGGCTAGCAAGTAGGTTCGACTCGACTCGTTGACATCCCTATTCCAACAACAAAATACTATTCATATTTTCGTTAAATTATTTTGTTGTTTTCACATGTTATGTTATGAAATTAAACTTTGTTTCCAAATTTTAACTGGTGATCAAATATTTGAAGCATGACATGTTTCTACATGCTTTATAGAGTCTAAAGTGTTAAAAAACAATTGTGCAATTATAATGAGATGTTGAAGATCTACTTATTTCTTTTTAAAGATTTATGACCAACTTATTATTCTAATAATCGGCTGAGAGACGCATTTCTGCAAGTTCAATTTTTCCTATTAAATTAAACACGGACCTTTTTTTTGTGACATTAAGAAAGTGGGTTGAAAGGTTGCATACATTATTGATTGATTAAACATTGGAATATCCAAAGTTTTGGAGATTACTTGTGGCCGAATTATACTGTCCAAACGTGGATTTCTCCTTCATGCCAGAATTTCCTAAAGCCAACATTGTTCTGTGAAGACCAAGCTCTGCTTTCCTTGGTGCATAAATTCCAGTCTCTTTGTTATGCTTGTATTGTACACTTTTTAGGCCACAAGCTGGAATGTTGTCACGTTTTTAAGAACAAAAGGGGAAAAAAGTGATTTTATTTTATTATCAAGGTGTCCGCCGTCGGCGACTATTCCTTGGACCTGTGATCTGGCCCCTCTTCACACAGACCAGTTAAATCGCGGGATGTGTCTCCAACTTATTAGGGTTCGAGCACCTCTCCAATTGGACTGTCAAAGTACCTAGTGAGTCAACCCATGTCGCGCTTTACCTTCCAAGACACTCCTGCCTTCCAGGATAAATCCCGTCTTCCAATATGTGCCTTGCCTTCCAAGAGTCTCAAGAATCGAACCCACGACCTCTGATCTGCCAGTTTTGAGAGAACCCGTCCTTTGCCAATGGAGAAGTGTCCCGAGGGGCAAAAAAAAAAAAAAATGATTTCTTAACACATGAAGAGGTTGAAGACATATTTGGTATTGCTTATCGGGACCAAAAAATAAAAAAAAAGGAGGCCAAGGAAGATATTTAGCCCTTGTTTGTCATCCATTAACAATTTATTAAATTGTTTGCTACAAGACAATTTTCCACTAAGCATTCACATAATAAAATATTTTACACATAAACCAATGAAATTTCCTTACTTTTTAACTACACATTCTTAAAAAAATACTATTTAAAACTCATTATTCCCAAATAAATTCTATCAAACAGATCCTTATATTGTTATCACGATTCAGTTCAAATTACTAATGTTTTTTTATTTTTTTTGGTATGGTTTGGACTGATAAATTTTTCATATTTTTTAATTACATGTACTTCAAACGAATCATTTTGCATTTGAAATTAGTTTTTATAGAGGGTTGTTTGACAAAGCTTTAGCGGAATTTGATAAAAGTGATGAAATATCTGTTTATAGAAGTTGTGGTATAAAAAAACTGGTGTTCGATTGGTTGATAAATTTTCATAAATTTTGAAATTTCATCAAAACAAGTATTGAAATTAAGAATGACAACATGAACTTCCCACCCCTTTTTTCCGTCAGCAGGACGATAATCATTTTTTTGTCTTAGTCGAGCAAGAATTGGAACAAATATTATACCATCTTGTAAAACCGGAAATGCTCCGTGGCGGTCTCACGTGCACGCTTTACCTTTCCCTGGATTTCAAACATTAATAAATGGTTTTTGAAACTTCATGGCCGAAGCATGTACGTCTGTACAATGCATGTACTTGAAGTTTTTTTTTTTTTTTAATCTCCACCGAAAGCTTCGTACTTTCCAGTTTTGCCCTCCTTTTCTCCCTTCCCTCCTATATTTGCTTCTTCGCTTGCCTTATCATCTTCGTGAAATAACAGAACATTCATTAATGGCGTCTCAGCTAAACACTAACTGTCTACTATTCCTTATCCTCGTCACTTTTACTCGACTCGCCGGTAAGCCTTCAATATTTCAAGATTATACAAATTGAAATGACTGTTTTAGAAAAATACAGATATTAATATATCAGTTGTCAAGTTTGAAGTTTAACTGTTTTTGTTGTTTTGCTAGAGTCAGAGTCGTTTATCGGGATAAATTACGGCCAAGTAGCGGACAACCTCCCGTCGCCGGAGGCCACTGCAAAGTTGTTGCAATCAACGGCAATTGACAAGGTCCGACTGTACGGAGCCGACCCGGCAATAATCAAGGCATTAGCAAACACCGGAATCGAAATCATGATCGGAGTATCCAGTGGTGACATACCAGGAATGGCATCCGACCCGAATTTGGCTAATAGCTGGATTAACAGTAACGTAATTCCGTTCTATCCCGCGAGCAAAATTAACATAATCAACGTTGGGAATGAGGTGATGATGTCCGGTGACCCGAATTTGATGTCCCAGTTGTTGCCGGCGATGCAGAATCTGCAAAATGCCATTAATTCGGCCAACTTAGGCGGGAAAATTAAGGTTTCAACTGTCCATTCCATGGCTTTATTGAGACAGTCAGAACCTCCATCCTCCGGGAGCTTTAATACTAGCAATCTGGATTTGTTGAAGAGGTTGTTAAGGTTTAATAATGCAACTGGTTCACCTTTCGCCATTAATCCTTATCCATATTTTGCGTATCAGAGTGATCCGAGACCAGAAACTCTGGCTTTCTGTTTGTTCCAGCCCAACTCAGGCCGTGTCGATTCAGGCACCAAGATCAAGTATACTAACATGTTCGATGCTCAGGTAAGTTATTTAGAGTTGCAGCATACTCATTTATCTTCATCTTTCTTGCATTTGATAAAAATAACAGAATTCATTAGGTGTAAGTCTATCTGTATGAAGGGATCTTTGAAGATTTTGAATATTTTTGGTTCTGAATTGAATGTTTGCAGTTGGATGCTGTTAGATCTGCATTGAACTCTATCGGGTTCGGGGGTGTGGAAATTGTAGTTGCCGAGACTGGTTGGCCATACAAGGGGGACAGCAACGAGGTTGGCCCGAGTATTGAGAATGCCAAGGCTTACACTGGCAATTTGGTTGCACACTTGAGATCCATGGTCGGAACTCCATTGATGCGTGGTAAATCAGTGGATACATACCTTTTTGCACTATATGATGAAAACTTGAAGCCTGGACCAAGTTCTGAGAGGTCATTTGGGCTTTTTAAAACTGATCTGACGATGACTTATGATGCTGGACTATTAAAGACTAGCCAGGTTAGTGCATTCTAAATCGGATTGCTTGCTATTCATGGCTAAGTTAAATTACTTATGAATATCTTGAACTTGACGTTAGCCACGTGCATATCACTGTTTTGAGGTATTGGATATTACGAGCGTGACTAATATCCATCCATGTCTTTTAGTTTTTCGCTTTTCTTGACAATGAGGTCCCTTTTTGGCTCCTCACT